TCTGCCGCTTTACAGTCGGCCATCTTGAACCGCCACGTCACTTTATAGTTTTGCATCTCTAAGGGAAGAAATAATACCATCCTCCCCCCGCCGCCCCTTCAGTAATCTCAGACGCCGTTGCCAAGTTCATTCTGATTGAAAATGTCGCGCTGCCCTGAGATTTCATTAAGGTTACGACGCTTCTTTTGAATGCGGAGTTGAGTACTCTGTGAGAGAGAGAGAGAGAGAGAGAGAGAGAGAGAGAGACAAGGTCATCCAAAGAGACAAAGTAAGATAGAAAAAGGATTTTAAGTAAGAATAATCTGGAAAGAGAAAAAGAAACGAGCAACCACAATTAGTTTAATGGAAAAACAGTTTTCCAACTATTTATACACGGGACTGCAGACATCTGGTTCACGAAGAGAATCCTAGGGACGGTTAATATTCTCAAAGTGCGACAGACGCGCGTCTGACCCCCCGGCGTCTCCGCCACTGGACGTAAACAAAGTTTAAGAACTTCAATCGAGACGACTGTCAGAGATACGACACTACGGGAACACATTATTTGTAGCGGCATAATGGGAAAGTTGACTCGCGGAATAAATATCAAACTTAAGAATAAAAAGATTCCATAACCCGAGTTTCATTCGCGCGAATAATAAAAGAAAGGAAAAAAAAAGCTCGAGACATCGCGAGTTTTCAAGAAGCCACGGAAACACAGTCATTCCTACATAATAAAATCTGTCAACGATTCCGCCCGTATTCCTATACGTATACGAAATACCAGCTACAGTCCTGTTTAAAGTGAAATAACAATTCTCAAAGAGAGCCAATAAAACTTTCCTACACAATCCGTATACCGCGTACATACCTCATAAACTTACGAGCATTTATTTCATTTCCATTGTCCTGCGCAGCGATACAATAACGAAGCCTATTCGCCATTAATATTCCTCGGTACAGTCCCGTTAGAAACACACCGAGAACGTCATATAAGAATTCCCAAAGAATAGATCCCAGAACCATTCAAATGCTTCCTCCTCCTCGCAGCCACCTCGCGCAAAAGCTCCCTTGACTCATTTCAATGGACCCTACCCGCCTCCATTCTCAAGATGATCATCGGTTTTACTACATAGAAGAAAATTCCCCCAGCGTTTGCCGGACGACCTCAGCCTCACTTCGAACTTCCTCGTAATGTCTATAGGGCTCGACCCGTCAGTCCGTACTGGCCAACTTACTCGATAAGAACCAGGGACACCCTCTTACCGGGCGGAGTGGTACGCATTCCGAGTGTAGAGAGCGTTTTCAAATTCGCGATAGAAAGACCCCGGGGGCCATGCAACCTTTATAATACGGTCCTGAGACCCTTTCAAGCCATTACCATTCGTTCTCTTCGAAATCGTTGAATTAACCCAGCGTGGGGGG